GCACCGCCATCACCGCCGCGGACGCGCGCCCGCCCCGGCGCCGCCGCTGCGCGGCCCCCTCCCCCCATCCCTGCCGCGGGCACGCCTTCCCTCTCCCTCCCACCTTTCCATCTCACTCATTGCGCAAGCGCATCACTGGTTGCCTTCCCCACACTCTCCCTGCCGCATAGCCTTCTGGGAAACGTAGGCTTAAGAGGCGGTGAGGTTGCCTACTGTGCTTGACGAGAGAGCCCCTCCAAAATGCACAATTGCGGGGGAAAAAGAGACCAAAGCCCCAGGACCTCTGCTGCTAACCGTTGTGAGCACATTCTTTGTGCTACCAGCCCACTCTCTTAAGTTCGCTGCACACAAACCCCAGTCCCAAACCTCTCTCTGCCCAAGATGCCCCTTTAAACCGTGCCTCCGCCAGCTGGCTGGCGCCCATTCCCGGGCTGGCGGCCACGAAGCGACTTCGCTTCCCCGTAGATCGAATGCGGTAGGTGCAGGGAGGTGGGCGCTGTGAATCAGAAGGGCAAAGGGAGGGGGTCTGTAGGATGTGCTGAAGGACACAGGGGTTGGAGTCGGGGGAGGGTCCTCAACTCTCGGGTTGTGCCTCCTGTGTGGGAAACCCACGGTGCCCTGACTCAGAGCAGAGGGTTGAAGTGGCGTTGTCTGGGTTTGGGAGGACCTAGCTGAGCTGACCGGGATCACCTGTCAGGATGACAGAAGGCTATCTCCGAGCCAGAGCCAGCCCCGGAACTGGGGTGGCCCCGAGGCTGCTGGTGTTTGCAGCATCTCTGCTGATCCGTCTCTCTCCTCATGAGCACTGCGATCGATACCCTGTACCGCCTCTTCCCAAACCCTGGCTGGACCGACTCCATCCATCCCTTTGGCTTCTTTTTCTAACGAATATTTTCTCTGCTGGCAGGGCTGCTACCAGAGCCTGGGCACAGGGAGATTTCTCATCAGATCTGTCATTTTCCTTGCTAAGGCCTGGAAAATACCTTAATCATCCACCTCTTTCTCTTTTCTCAGCTGATAACATTCCTTCCCACCCTCACGTAATCAAGAGACAAAAGCCTGCCCCCCACCCCATCACATCAGAAAAGAGATACTAATTCTCTTTTCCCTCCTCAACCCCTTACACCTCACCACATATATTCATTATTTCATCTAAGGGGAAACCAAACTGGAGGCAAATGAGTCAAGGTCTGTGACTTCAAGACCTCAGACTGTCTTCTCATTTTCACCCAGGGAAGGTTTAAATACTTCAAGGATAATCTCTGAGGGTAGAGATTCCTAACCTGAGAACCATGGATGATTCCTAGGGGGAGTGGGAAACTGGTGACATTGTACGTAATATTGTGCCCAAGTGTATTTTTCTAGGGAATGTAAATGTAGCCTGTGACTGTTTGTCAGAAGGGGCACAGAGGTGCAAGTCTGTTCAGCAAGAACCTTTATGGTTAAAAGGGCAAAGCACGTGGCCCTCAACTCCTGACAGGAAGCTTGTCTAGGTCACAGATGGTAGGAGAGTAAGTGGAAACAGCATTGTGGAAGCCAGTATCTCTCGCCTTCTGAGTTTCCTCTAAATTTACTAATGAGTCTCAGTTACTTTGGACTAATTGGTGCCACCAAAAGAGGAGATGTTGCCAGACTGGGGTCCGCCAGGAACAACTCCTTAGCCTGCAGACTCTATTGCTGGGAGTGCAGAGTGGAGAGGAGTGGAATGATGTTTTGGTGGAAATGCTGATATTTGTCCAAGAACTTAAAGCAAGGGGAGGAGGAGGAAAAAGGTCCCCAGAAGGGCTGCATTCTTGGCTCCTTCATGGCAATTTCTTGAGGCACTGTTTATTCAAATGTATAATAACAAGCACCAGAAAACAACATGCAACATTCTCCCCCCACCCCTGATCTTCAATCCCAGAAGAAGGATACCTATGACCATGATAGTGGAGGGAACTCATGTTCAGGAAAGGTCCTAGGTGGGCACCCTGGCAGGGTCAGAGTTTACCAGGGCAAAGGGCAAGTGCCCTGCCTGTTGGCCTCCTGCGGCAACTGGAGAAGCCAGCACCTTCTACCTCAGGACCCACTAGGCAAAGTGGTGATGCCAGCCCTAGTTGGAGGGGACACGAGTCCTATGAGGACAGCCGCGCACTCAGCATTTGACCCAGCCCAGCCCTCTGAAGGTAATGAGGTGAAGGAGCCTTTCCCCTTAGGGTGACTATGGAGAGAGAGGCCATAGCCTAAATCAAGGCCCTTCAGGCTGAGAACAAGCCAGCCTCTTGAAGAGGAGAAAGAGCCTTCTCTGCTCTAGGGAGAGTTCTGGGCTAGGAGTCCTTGGCAGGAGTGCATACCCACCCACCCCCTTTCCCTAGCTGAAGGGCCAATTAGTAACTTAGGCCCCCAAATGAGAACACTTTATGCATCACATTTCAGATAAATTACAAATATGTACACAGAATCCAAACAAAGTTCCAGTAGAAGCTGCTCACAGACCCTCACAGGGGCCAGCTTGAAGAAAACTGAAGGTCATCCCTTTGTCCTCTGTGTCTCTGGAGCTGTGGGCAAAACTGTCTCCCCTTGTCCTTGAGTAGTCATGGGGACAGCTCAGGACAGAGAGGTTCAGACTTAGAAACACCCTTATCCCCATCTCCTATCTTCCCTCCTCAAACGCCTTCCCCCAAATCTAAAAAACAAAATACCTAATTTTTGAAGGACTCTGGAGCATTTGAAGATGTAAACCTCACACTCCCCTGTCAAGTGGGGAAACTGACCCAAAGAAGAAATGATTGGCCCTAAGTCAAAGGTCCTGCCGCCTAGGTACCCCAGTAATGCACACGTTACAATGGAGGGTGCTGAGGAAGGTGAGGAGGTGGGAGGGGTTGACTCAGTCCTGAGGAGAGACTGGCACAGGGCACATTTACCTTTGGGATGACATCTGGGCTAATTGGCACTGGATTGGAAAATGGCTGGATTCTGCCTTCTCCCTTCTGCCCTGGGCAGCCCTATGGCCAGGGCAGACTGAAATGTTTTGAGCTGGATGGGAGACAGATGGCCCTTATCCAGTCAGCACTGACTCTTGGGCCCTGGGGTCCGCAGAGGGACTGAGGAGGTGTCAGGAAGGGGAGACACACCAAAGACAAATATGGAACTGGGTCCCGAAGTGAAGAAGCACCAAGAGCATCAGCCTGCCCTGGACTGGGGTGGGCGTGTAGGGGGGATAGAGCTTGGAACACATGCGGAGGCAGGGGAGGAATGGCGGGCAAAGGGAGAGGGCATGTTCTTTCCTAAAGGTGAGAAGCGGAAGTAGGAAACGGGCCAGAGAAGGAGCAGGGTGGGAAAAAAATGAGCAGAGAGTGAGGAAGAAATGGGCCCATCCATCCATGTCCTGGGGCTCTGGGGCAACTTAGACTCATGATGGTCCTTTCTTACCCTTTCAGAGCCCCTATCTGGCCCCACAGGAATGAAAGGAAGGCCTGGACAGACTTTGAAAAGGACCTTGAACGCCTCAGACCCAAGAGGCTGGGGAAGGGAGAGGGACAGAGGGGTGGGAGGCGGGGAGGGCCGAAATGGAGATGCTCCTAGACCCCTCATCTTGTGTCCCAGGTGTGAGACCAAGCCCAAGAAGGAGGACAGGGAGGAAGGTAAGGAGTTTCTAGGGCAAGTATGAGTTTAGAGTGTTGGTGGAAGTGCCCCAGCCTGGAGGGGTGGAAGGACTAAGGGAATTTAAAAAAACTGATTCCCCAGCAAGTCTCCTGGCTTCTGTTTCTCTAAGTTGCAACTCAGTTGCAATTTATCTGCTCCCCACCAAGTCTCAGCCTACTTGGGACCCTCTGAAAGGCTGTTTTCTAGGCTAGTCCGCCTCCTGGGTTCCCACATGATGGGCTCTGTGGGCAAACAGAGGCCAGAGGAGAGGGTGGGGAGCATACTGAGCTCAGGCGGATTGGAGGTCAGCGCAGACACGGGGCCTTGATGACAGCCATTGAAGAGGGGTCACTAAACCACTGGTGGGCCCTCCATGCAAGGGGGCAGGGAGAAGGCTGCCAGCCAATTTCCCCTCCCCCCACTTTTACTGACGCTGGACAGACTGATAGAAGTGGCAGCTAGGAACCAGTCTCAGGTCTCCTGACCCCAACCTTTGCCTGTAGCAGAGGCTGGTTCTCAAAGGCTGTGAGGGTACATGTAAGACCCCAAGTAAGATGCCTGGGTCCAGGCAGTAGATAAGAAGCGCTGAGCTCCTGCCATCCGGGGCTCCAGCAAGAGGTGGGATAGGAAGTCACTGGGAGGGCTGCCCAGGTTTCCCACAGCTGATGCCTGCCCATCCAGTGAAGACGTCCCAAAGCTCAGAGCCCAGAATAATGGGGGAGGGGAGTTGGGGGAGGAAGAAGAGGGAGGTCCTGGAAGCCAGAGGCGGTTGAAGAGGCGCTGTCCTGTTGGGAGTAGCCGGCTGGGGGCCGCTTACTGCTTCTCCACCGCTCCCTGCTCAGCTGTGCTCTCCTGGCCGGCGCCCTGGCCCTGGTCCTGGCCCTGCCCATGCCACGGGGTCTCCTTGAACACAAACCAACAGTTTCCGGCCCACAGGAAGAAGCTGATAAAGCCAAAGAGCTGCAAAGACATCAGGGGGAGGGGGGCTTATGAGAATAGAAGGAGGGCATCCTGGGAACAGGGAGGGGGAGTACCTGTGTGTTGGGGGGAGGGGGAGGGGGAGGTGCAGAGGGCTAGAAAGACTATAAGAGACCTGGATGTAGAGTCAGGGTTTAAGGCCACCACCCACTAAGGGATTCTCTGGTGAAAGTGTCTAACTCTGTCCACAGCATGCGCCCAAGTTGTGGCTTGGTCGCTAGGAGAACCTGGCTCCTGGAGTGGAGCACCGTGCAAAGCATAGCAAGAAGCAAGGACTCTAGTGGCGCTTCCCACAGCGTCCGCAGGCCGTTTTCCGAAGGCCTTGTCGGGGTGGGTGGGGCCAGAGCTGTCCAAGGTGCTCCTTCCCTAGGGTAGCGACCCAGCCAGCTCTATCCAAATATTTATTCAAAATATTTAAAAACCTATCAGCAAGGAGTATTTAGGGGGAAGTGTACTGATGTCTGCAATCAACTTTGAAATGCATTAAAAATAAGATGGATCGATAGTTGAAGAGAGGCAGATAGATACAGGACAAAGCAAGTCTAGTAAAATGTTAATGGTACAGTCTAGCTGATGAGTGCGTGGCTGTTCATTGTAAAAGTCTTTCAACTTCGCCGAATGTGTGAACATTTTTACAGTAAAAGGCTGTGGGGCTAATACCTATCAGCAGGGTTCCAGCAAGGTCTAGAAGGCTCCCTGGTGTGCCAGCCATTAAACCTTTCAGTTGCTGGGCCCGGGGAAGGTTCAGGCCATTTTCAGGGCAGGGCTGAGGCGGCTGGGCTGACAGGAGGGCATTTGCAAAGCTCAGCTACTTACCAACTAAGATGGAGATGTTTCAATGTTCTAACAGCTGGGGTGGCCAAATACATGCGTATCAGCTAGACCCACCACTGCCCAAAGACCTTTTCCAGCCTGGAGGCCTGAGTGACAATAAGCCCCTTCTCACCCACTCTGGGTCTGCCCCCCGCTTTGAGCCCAGTCACAGCCCTAGGCTCCCCCTCCACCTGCTCATGTGTGTACATTCACACAGACTGTAAAGAGGCAGGAGGAGGGAGAGGCAGTCACAAAGAGCACGCCTGGAGGTGGGGAGAAGAGAGGGAAATGGGAGGCAGAGGGCGGAAGGAGGAAGGCACAGGAGGCTGAGTGGCTCTTGGGTTCCCCCTGCCCAAATGTCCCTCAGGCTCAGCCAGGGGCCAGCAGCCAGCATTAGGTGCAGGGGAAGCACTGGCTGCCAGTGCCGGGGAGGGCAGCTGTGAAGACACCCTCTCTGTCCCTCTCAGACCCTGCTGTGACAGGCCTGGGCAGCTGGGAGTGTGCTGCCTTCCCCAGACCCCTTCAGTGGCCACAGGTCTCACCACGGAGATGTTGGCCAGTCCCATGGAGGGCGTGGCCCCGGCACTGCACACCGCCTCCTCTCCATGGCACACAGACATGGCTGCTGTCAGGCTGGATGGTCGTGTGGCCCCCTTGACGTCAGTCAGGCCCTTGCCCCAGGCAGCTGCAGCTACCAGCCAGAAAAAGGTGAAGGAGACAGTCACACAGAAGTCCTGGGAGGAGCAGAGGGACAGGAAATACAATCAGAAAGGCCTCCATGATTCTGTACTTCTTTTCGTCTTGCCATAAGGCCCTGGGATCCTGGGGTCCCAGAACAGCTGCCTCTTCCTATCCTACCCAACACCTAGAGCTTCAGGGAACTCAGCTCATCCTAGGGAATCTGCCACCAAGAAAATCCCGCCAGCCAGGGCTACCCCTGCCCATGCCCTCAGAACTGAGGTCAGGTAACAATGTGCCCAGGCATCTGTTGGTCAGTGTCATCCCTAAACCCACGTGGCCTAAACTTGACACTCTCCCCATGCCCAGCCTTTCCTTTGATCACCACTGCTCAGTTACAAGTGGTGGCAGAGTGAGGGCAGACTGCAGGAGATAAATGGGGTCCCCTAAGGCACCCTTTCCACCTTGCATGCCTGGGATAAGGAGAAAGTAAAGGGGAAATAATATTGATAATAGCTAGCACTTATGGAGGCTAACTATACACCAGGTATTTTACATGCATGTTCACTGTATCCTTCCAAAACACTATTAGATAGTTATTATTTTATTCCCATTTTATAGTTGAGGAAACTGAGAGTTAGAGAGGTTAAGGAAATTGTCAAGAGCACACAGCTAGTAAGGGACAGTGCTGGGATTTGAACCCAAGCAATCAGACTTCAGCGCCTGCTTCTTGAAGCTATTGTGCCTACTTTGAGTAGAGCAAGCGATGGGAGCCTGGGACATGGGCCTTCCACTGGCCCGAGGACCTGTGGCAGCCCCAGCACCCGAAGGGACCAGCAGCAAAGAGCTGGCAGGGAGATTGAGGAGGTTCACATCCGAGTGTCAGTGACCCAGGAAAGCCACCATGTTTGTCCTCAGCCCAGACACGTATGTCTCCTCAGTGCCTCCACCCCATCCCTCCTGACTGTGCCCACTCACCACCAGGGGGAAGCGCCTGTTCTGTGTGTAGATGTTGTGGAAACGCAGGTAGAGGACGAGTGCAGCTATGGTGTAGAAGAAGGAAAAGATGCCCAGGGTCACGAAGAACTCGGCGGGGGCAGAGAAGTCCCCCATGAGATGCATGGTCTTGGAGGTGGATTCATCATTGCAGAGGGGCATCTCATACTGGACCCGGTTCAACCTGCAGGTGGCACGGAGCCCACCCTGAGCTCAGGGCGATCCTCTCCCTGTGGAGGCAGTGGGCTTCCCCTGCCCTAGGAGCAGTCCTGCACTAGTTCTCACCCAAGGACTCTTACAGAACCAAGAAAGGGGCAGGTAGGGAGGAAAGTTTCTGGAGGGAAACTTGCAGTCAGTACAGGAATTTCCCTGGAATTCTGGTCAAACTCTACCTCCCTCTCAGCCACCACCCCACACGCATCCACCCTGCCCAGATACGGTGAGCCTGTATTTCCAAGTATCTCCACGACCCTTTAGATTGTAACCACAGTATATATAGTTCATCTATTTCTGGTAGCCAAACCACCAGGGAAATCAGCTTCATTCTGCCCCTGGGAAAGCACAGGTCCACAGTGGCCAAGTTAAGATTGGAATCACCCATTCTCAGGCTTTATTTAGGTCCCCCAATGAGACTACACTGGACAAAATCAAGAGAGAAAAACAAATACCCTATTATGAACAAGAGACAGCTAACCTAACTTGGCTGCTGCTACTAGAAATTTCTGAAAAGCTGAGCCCTGTCCCCATTCCCCTCTGAACACTTGGGCTCTCCCTTCTCTAAGTTCCCAAACACTCAGGAAAGAGTACTGTCTTCTACCACCCGGTCAAGGTATACCTCCTTGTATTCTGGTGGTACTGGTGAGCATCCCCCATCAGCTCTTTAGGATCTGAGTACTGACAAGCTTCCTTACCTTCAAGGCAGGGAGGAGGCTGCTGAGGGTCGATAAGCCTTCACCCCACACTGCATGGGTTCTTCCTGTAGGAGCTGTTGTTACCTGCTATTGGTTATCCATGGACTGCAACGTTATTATAACAAGGATCTATTTGAGTTTCCCTTATATTTTTCTCTGGCCAGTGTGTCTGAAATTCCTAAAGGGCAGGAAGGACCTGAGCCTTGTAATTCTATCTGAAACTGGAGTGGCACACAACAAAAGGGCTTTAGGTTTCTGGAGGAGAAAGAGACCAAGCAGGTCCTGCCAATCCAATGAGAGAGGCTATGCGGGGTCACAGTCAACTCCTGCTCACCTGAAGGGATAGCCGAACGAAACAAGGATGGTGCTCACGTCCTTGGCTTCGTTGTTGCAGCGAACCGTTGCTCCTGTTTCCCCACTGTAGGAGCCGCAGGACCCGAAGGCGAAAACAGCAAAGAGCTGAGGGAGAGTGAAGCCCCTCTGAGAGTCAGAAGGTCTCAGCTGGCCAAGGTCTATCACTTCAGAACCACCCTCTGACTCTCAGCCGGTGCAGATATGGGGGCGGGGAGGGCCAGGAGTCCCTTTAATCAAGTCCCTCCTGGCCAGGGACCCATGGCTTCCTTTGGTCTCCCAGCCTCAGGGTGCTGTGTTCACTGCACAGCGAGCTGGACCAAATAGCCAAATGAATAAGGTTGACCTTGACTGGTACCTGGGAGGGAGATGAAGAGGGAGAAATGGGCAGTTTCCAGGTCTCCCCATCGGATGTGACACTGGAGACCACAGGTAGCCTCCTTAAGATGATGACTAACACAAAGCAATTTAGGCTTTGGAAACTTCTATCTCAAAGTTGGACTTGAATTTCCTCCCCAAGGGAGAGGCACCCTAGAAATAGATTTCCCTGCACCAATCTAGAGCAGGAGTGCATGGAATTCTTTCCATTTCTCCTTTGAAGCCATCAATGAATCTTGCCATTACCTTCTTGCTAACTTCCAATGGCTTCCTGCCTCAGTGGAGGTATAGCTAGAGGGGACGGGGGGCAGGGGGCAGAGGCCCGGCTGCTGTGTACTGCCAGCTAACTCCTCTCCCCCAAAGGCACCTTTCCTTTGGCAACTGTGCTGGCTAGGTTGATGATGGCAGTCCTGGCTCAAGCCCAGAGAGATATATCCTCAACTTGCCTTATCAGCCTCTGCTTTTTCCCCAGTGGTGTTTCCCTTTATAATCCGTTGCTGCTGCCATTTCTCAGTGTTAAGAACCAGAGGCGTTTCCGATCACATGAATTGTTTTCCTCTTCATCTTTCATCACATTTTACTAAACCTCCTGCCTTGAGTGACATGAAATTCCCTCATCCTATGATTTTCTAATTTCTTTCTGAGGATACACACTTTGGTTAGAAGGAGGGGAGAAAGTGGAGTCTCTGATCCTCCCACACCATCTGTTCAGGCCTCGTTTCCTGTTCACTTACCATTGGCTTGTGCACGATATAATCATTTGTATTAAGCAGTGAGCTTATTCTGTTAATTGTTCACTTTTTGTACGTTTCCTCGCGATTTGGTATCTTGGATATTAAGCACCTAGAAGACAGCTAATTCACATCCCGGTCCTGCATCCAGTGTTTATAGAATAGAGTTGTGCTCACAGTATTTTGCTAATGCTTGATAGTATCGTGGAGTGAAGAGCCCTGGATCAGGAGTCTGGAAATCCAGGTCCTGGTCCTGGCCCTGTCACTAACTGGCAGGGTGACCTCTAATAAGTCATTCTGACCTCTGAGTCAGAGGTAAAATGAGGGGCTTGGAGCAGGTAATCCAAAGGCCTTTTCCAACTCTATGATTCTCTCACTCTCCGAGGGTAGTGCTATCAGTGTGCCCTTGGCTGGGCTTGCCAGCAGCTGTGCTCTGTCCCTGGGTGGTGTCCGGTGCCACTGCCCCACCTTGGATCGCCTGGCCTGGCAGATCTTCATGCTGGAGCCACTGACCCCTCTCTGAAGGTCATAATGGGTACCTCTCCGTTTCTAGGAGGTTTAGTTCAAACAAATGACAATTGTCTCCACCTTAAAAATCATCCAGGAAAGGAGACAGTCTAACCTCTCTCCAATGCCTGCTTAACCTCCTGATCTGACTTAAATTACAGAGGCTGCAATAGAGCCCTGTTCGCTCATCTCCTTGACAGGCCTGGAGAGAAGTTACTCAAAGCCTCTGCATCATTATCCTTTACAGACTCCAAGTTGTCTCCCTGGCATAACAGTGGAACTTCTCTAGCTCGTCCTCGTAAGAATTCTCCAATCTTGTCAGCTCTGTTTCTTGTCAGTTCTCTGATTCCTCTTGGAAGTTTCTTTGTTCCTCTTAGCTTCTGGTGCCCAGAACTGGACACAATTAAGGCGTTACATTCTGGGAAGGGCAGACAGTTGGATATATTTTTACTGTTGGCAGTTAGCCAGTGAATGGCTCTGTAATAGGTTCCCCCCAAACGTAGGTACTCCTAACTTGGGGCAATGAACAGTTAGTTATGGAGCGTGCTTTTTACCAGCACTCTCTTGACTGGCACTCCTGACCATCTACAGAAAGATGTCATTTACTGAGGATCTACTATGTACAAGGCATTGTTCTAGGCGATATGATTTATTAGTGAACAAAAGAGAAAAAAAACCTTTGTCTTCATGGAGCTCCTACTATACAGCTGCACTATCCACAATGGTAGCCACTAGCCAAGTGTGGCTACTTACTTTTAAATTAATTAAAATTAAATAACACTTAAAATTCAGTTGCTCAGACACACTGGCCACATTTCAAGTGCTCCCTAGGCACATGTGACTAGCAGTTTCCATACTGGACAACACAGATTATAGAACTTTTCCATCATTGCGGAAGGTTCTGCTATGTCCAGATGACAACCTTGAGGTTCTGAAAATCCTGAACCCTGCTTTAAGATTCCTCTCTGGGCAAAATATACCCATAGTAACTTTAGTATTAACTGTATTCTCTTCTATTCTGATTCTTTGAAAGTCAGGAGCCTCTAAACACCTTATATAACTTTATTAACCAGAATATATGATTAAATCTGAACATAACACAGTCAGATGGTGTCAGATAACAGATGACAGTTGGCTATGCAAGTGAACGGATGGAGGAATCTCAGCAAAATCTCACAGGTTCACAGAACAAAAAGGATCTCAGAGATAGATTATCAAGCACAATAGTCTCATTTCATAGAGGTGGAAACTGAAGTCCCAAAAGATTAAGTGACTTCCCCAAGGTCACATTTAGCCAATGTGAGAGCCAGGCTTAGAATTCACAACTCCCGATTTCCGGTTCTGTGCTCTTCCTACGTCACCCATTCATTAATCAACAAAGAGTTATCGAGCATCTATTTTGTGCCAGGTGCTGCAGAATCTAAGTTGAATAAGACCTGGTGCCTGCTCTCAAGAGTTTGCAGCCAGAAAGGAGAGAGTCATGCTCAAATAAAAACCAAAACAGAACCCTGCATCACAGAGTTATAAAGGCTGAAAAAGATCTCTACTGTGTGCGGGGAGGATTGCAAAGAGAGAGGAAGTAGCTCTGCACCTGGGATGCAGGAGCAGAGAAAGACGTGCTTTCCCAGTCTCCTCTGCCTTTCTGTATCAGATATGCTTTCTTCCTTAACTGTGCCACAGGGAAGAGTGGGGAAGAACAGAAACCACCCCTGTCACCAAGCACAAGGCTCTGAGCCAAACAAGCTGGTCCTAAAGAACAGGAGCCACGAAGACATGGAGACCCTAAGGCAAGGGGCAACTCCAGAGCTCTGGTACCAACCAGCCTTCCTCCTCATGGACCTGCATTGCTGGGAACAGCAGTGGTCAAACACTGCCACCCTCCTCCCTCTCTTCCTCCTCCTCCTCCTCCTCTTCCCCCTCCTCCCTCTGCATCTCTTTTTTTTTTTTTTTTTAATAAATTTATTTATTTTATTTTTGGCTGCCCTTGGTCTTTGTTGCCGTGCCCAGGCTTTCTCTAGTTGCAGGACTACTCTTTGTTGTGGTGCACGGGCTTCTCATTGCAGTGGCTTCTCTTGCTGTGGAGCACAGGCTCTAGGCACGCGGGCTTCAGCAGTTGTGGTACGTGGGCTCTAGAGAGAAGGCTCAGTAGTTGTGGCGCACGGGCTTAGTTGCTCCACGGCATGTGGGATCTTCCTGGACTGGGGCTCGAACCCGTGTCCCCTGCATTGGCAGGCGGATTCTTAACCACTGCGCCACCAGGGAAGCCCTCTGCATCTCTTTTGGAAAGATGTCAGAATAACCTTGCTACTTTAAGGATGACGCTCCACTTTGGTGCTGACTTGCTTTTTGGTGATAATCCTTTGTCAGTCCTGAGAACACTAACATTTCCACTTAGTGCAGGGCACAAGAAAGACAAGTTCTCCCCCAAATCCTATTCCCACAATCATCTCACTGGTTTTTATGGACTCTGATGGTGTACTTTCGAATTCCCCACATTTACAGAAATACCTTATTTTCATTACAGAGACCCCAGGGCCAAATAAGTGACTTTGGCACTTCAAAGGTGAATTACTGATCAAGGGCACACCAAGTTAAAGGTAACGTGACGTTATCGATACAGTAACTGAGTGATCCAGGAGATTCGTACCTTACCCTCAAAGTGAGGATTTGGCAGTGACATCTGAATAATCTCACCAAAGGACAAGTCCAGCTGACAGTCTGCATAAGGGGGAAAGTTAGGGAGAAGGAGAGGATTGGGAACAAACACTTGCTGAATACCTCCTGGACTGCCAGGCTCATCATGGTCTTCCTGAATGCTCCAATGCTTTACAGATAATTAGCTCCTGTAATCCTCCCAGTGAGCTCATGAGATAGACCTTACCCTCATCTACAGGTAAAAAACTGAGACCCATGAAGATTTCATCACTTATCCTAGGTTCCACAGCTAGAAAGCAGAGAAAAACTAGTTCTCCAATAATTGGCATATGCCTATATTATTTTCCTAGCTTAGGGTAGACTTAGTGAGACCCCAGAACTGCAGTTGAGGTGAGATTAGTTACTCTTTAAGTTTTAAGGAGATACCCTAAGCTAAGCTCCTCACTAATAAAAGAATAACATTACTTTTGTCTCACCAGGATTCCAGTAAAACCTTTGCTTTTTGTAATAATGACAACAAAGTTTTCAATTATCATTACAATAACTGCAGGTTCGTCTGTGTTTTTTTCCCCCCTTTTCCAGACCGGAGTATTTGATCCCTCCAAGCAGGAAATATGCGAAAAGTCCCAAACGACATTTTCACTGTCATTTTGGTGCTGGTTCCTGGTGCTGGTTCCTGTGTTCACCTGCAGAGACTCAGAGCAAGTGAAACTCACTCTGAATTCAGGCTACCAGGATGGCAGTAAAAGCAAATCATGTCTCTTTATGATGCTACCCTTCGAATGAAGGCTGAGTGCAGAGCCTAGCCCTGGACTCTTGGATTGAGTATTATGAGAGAAAGGCATAACTTCCTCTCTAAGAAGCTGAGGATCTTAACAAGTCAAACACGGGGATTCCCTGGTGGCGCAGTGGTTGAGAGTCCGCCTGCCGATGCAGGAGACATGGGTTCGTGCCCCGGTCCGGGAAGATCCCACGTGCCGTGGAGCGGCTGGGCTCGTGAGCCATGGCCGCTGAGCCTGCGCGTCTGGAGCCTGTACTCCGCAACGGGAGAGGCCACAGCAGTGAGAGGCCCACATACCGCAAAAAAAAAAAAAAAAGAAAATCAAACAGGTCTTAATTCTTAGGGATCAGAACTGACTGTGGGAGGAGACTAGGCATTGCTTTGTGCAGCCTTATAGAAATGTTGTGGGTATTGGCTGGGGGAGGGTTGGGAAAAGGATAGAAAGGTTGAAGAAGGAAGCTTTTCAGAATCCCTCCCATGGAGGATGATTCCATGGTCTAACAACCTCATTGTTTCCCTCATCCCTTGACAGCCTTTCTCAAATTTCCCTTAGATCCATTTGTCTAGTTTAATGATAAAATTGTACCCTTACATTTCTGGTTCTGCTCCTCTGGACCACTCATAATGGATCCCTAGTTCTGGATGGTAGACACACAAAGCCTTAATATCATTCTTCTACGGCCCCCTCAAGCACTCAAGTGGTGGCTCATGGCAGGGAAGTGGGGGGGAGGTGAAAGAGCTCAGTCAGCAGTAGTTCCAACTGCTCTTGAGGCAGTAGAGAGAGTGGAAAGTCCCCAACAGGTCCCAGAGTTTGAACTTGGGAGCTCCGCATTGCTGGCCTGTAGCCCCAGTCAGGGTCTCAGATATCCAGAGGTAACCCCAAATGCACTATTGCCCCCGAATTCCAGACCTGATGATTCTCATCCAAAGGATAATTTAAGAATCAGTGACACAGTGCTAATTCCTGTCTCCGATGAGTTAAAAGCCCTTCAGAACTCAATCCTCCTCAGTAGTAATGGTAACTTATTCCCTAGCTGAATTCTGTGCTGAAAGCACATTAATTAAGTTATTCACACACCATTTGGTGTGTGGATTGTCTAACTTAAATCTCTTCTGTGATAGTGCAATAACTGCTCTCGAAAAGTCTTTATGATTTGAAAGAGTGACTGCACCTGTCCACATTCCTAATTTATACCCAGGAGGCCTTGGGCACCGCGAAGGACAGAGAACATGATAATGTCTCAAAGTACCAGTGAGGCAGGAGAAGATGGTATTTCCCCTATACCACTACAGGGGAAACTGAGGCCCTGGGCAAATGATTTCTTCAAGGTCACAGGATAAGTCTAACCCAAGGGCAATGTTCTAGCATGCCAACCCATTTAGAGCAGAAAGGGACCCTAGGGATGGTCTGAACATTTGATTAATATGGAAACTGAAGTCCAAAGAAGAGATTTGTCCAGGGTCAAGTAAGTAGAAAAGGCAGGTCCAGGTCTAGAACCCAGGGCCCCAGCTTTCCAGCTCAATATTCTATCTTATTCTACAAGCCACATTTTGGCTGATTTTTATTCTGTCTTACTATTTTTTCTTTTATGTAATCCTAGAGCCATGAACTCCATTCATTCATTCATCCACTCCCTCACGCAGTTACAGGAACGCAGATCACTCTAGGGACCGCAACAGGACAGCTGCCATCAAGGACCCTGTCCCATGAATCCACCTCCAGGATCAGTCAGGTCCTGGTGGGTTTGGGGACAGGATGGTTTCCATCGCCTGCTTCCTTCCGTCCTCTGCCCTCTGCAGCTTTCCTCATTCCCACTTGTCCTCTTCGCCCCTCCCGCCACCGAGAAGTGGTATGTGCAGGATCAGAACTCTGGAAAGGTTACACCCGGGTCCTCTCGCCCGGGTGAAATGTGAGCGCCCTGGGCAAAGACTCCTTGCACATAGAAGGACCGAATCCGGGGCTCCGCATGCTTCGTTCCTCACCCTCCTGCCACCAAGCGCTGGAGAAGCAGCCCCAGCCCGCCCCTCCCCCGCCCACCTGTCGCCGCCCCCCACCCTTCCTCCGGGACCGGCCTCAGCACCTCCCCGCCCCCCACTTCGGCCATATTGCTCGGGTCAGCGTCACAGCCCAGGCTCCCGAAATAGCCCTCGTCGGGGGCAGCGACTCACCCACTGGAGAACTTTGATGAAGCCCAGCGGCTCCTCCAGCCGCCTCCAGCGCAGCCCCACGAGCAGGCGGTCCACCTGCGGAGACAGGGCCCGGGGTCAGGGCGGTGGGGGACCCAGGAAAGCGCTGGCCCTCTTCCTCCCACTCACACCCGGGAGAGAGGGCAGAATAAGGGTCGGCCCGACACCCAGGTGGAGAAGGGGCGGCGAGAGAGCCCCAGGGGCGTGCAGGGAGTACCTGCTGGCGCGGCGACTTGTCCGTCGTGCGACTGGAGCTCTCCGTCGAGGACATGCTGGCGCGGCGGGGCCGGGGCGCGGCGCGCGGTCCACGGGGACCGCGGTGGGGCTCGGGGCTGCTGACCCGCGGCGGGGGAAGCGAGCTGTACCGAAGCGCGAGCGGCCGTCGGCGGCCCGGGATCCAGTCTGGCTGGGTGGGTCGCGGGGGCGCTGCTGCTCGCGCTTGCCGCGGCCGCGGCCGCCGCTCTGCCCCGCCGGCTGCAGAAAACCCCCGAGTCCAATTCAAACTTCTGTCAAACTCGCGAACGAACTTGGCAATAGAGTCACGTGGCGTGCGCTTGAGAACCCTCCTCCCGCCCCCTTAGCTCCCGGGTCCCTGCCCGCAGGATGCCTTAAAGGGACCTGTGGCCTCTGCGGGCAGTTCGGCCGCGAGGGTGCTCAGGTTCCTTGCCAGAACCCTCCAGGGCCAGTCCCAAGCGAGACATCACAGCTGCCCCGACCCATCGCCAAAGTCGGGAACCAGCCTGGCGCGCTGGCAATCATCGGCTTCTAGTTTATCTTTACCAATTTTCCTGGATTTGGAGCTGATCTGTGCCGTTTTTTCTTCTTTCACACCATAATACTCAGAACCTAAAGGATTTTCATAAAGGCATTATCAGGGCTGAAATAAAGTTCTAAACTTACGGTTAACAAACTGCTTGCTTCCAAAATTTTCAAGAGCCAGTACAGACGAAATGGGCAATAGAATGTAACTGACTTATTGTTCTGTCTAGTTAGGCGTTGCTTTAATTTGTTAACACCAAAAGCATTCTTACGTTAGTGATTTAAAAGTTATGGATCATTTAAAAGTATAAACTCAATCTCCTTTAAAATAGCCCTCGCCATTTAAATGAGAGTGAAAATATTCTTTGAGGAATGGCGGGGGAGGGGGGAGTTGGCTTAGAAGATGTACTTTGTGTTGAAAAGTTGCCATATGATCCACCGTAAATCGGTCCCTAATTTTCAAGATGTGTTCCGCAGGAGCCTGAATGAGTGATGATGAATATTACACATTCAGTTTACCGGAGTGTAAATATAAGTAGTGAAAGGTTAAGTGATTTGCCCAAGGTCACTGAGTGAGCCAGTGGGAGGTAGCCAAAGAACCTGCCTTCACCTCCTAAGAATTGACTTGTAAATGTGCATCCATCGCCTGGGAATCATTCCTGGAGGCCCCTTCTGGTACTTCAGAATGACTGTTTTTGAACATTTAGCTATTATTAATACAATTCGTTCCCCCACTAAATAAGTGCCTTCCAAGGTTGGGGTGGGGGGAGTGACTGGGGTCAAGTCACCTGGGCTTGAAGGGAACTTCTCCAGTGGACTTCCATGCAAATCTAGGCTAAACAAGGAACTACTGAGTCCCCAATCCACTTCAGATTCCTTTTCTATGGAATAGGGATAATAATTTCTGTCCTTATTTCATAAAGTGATCATGAGGCTTAAGTGGTGTGAGGTATGTAAATGCCCACACTACACAAATATGAAATAATCTACTCATTACCGCTGTCAACAACAATATGCATGCAGAATACAACACAAGCAGAAAAGAATCAGAATAACACAACAAAATCCACACACCCACCAACCAGCCTTGTTAAATTTTAACACTCTTCCTCATTTGTCTCAAATCTATTCCTTAAAAACAAAATTAAAATGGCATATAAAATTGAACCCCTGTGTGTGTAGTATTCCATCCTATTACAAAATATGATCCATCACTGTTTATTCACCTGCCAAAATACATTTGGGTTATTTCCATTTTATTTTTTTACTATTATGAGTAGAGCTGTTAAAAAAAACATTTTTTGTACAGGTTTTTGAGTGAAGTAAGTCTTTATTTCTAGGATAAATACCAAGAAGTAGGATTTCTAGATTATATGTCTAACTTTATATGAAACTACCAAACTGTTTTCCAGAGTGGGCTTATCGTTTTGCTTTCTCACCAATAATGTATTCCAGGTGCTTTGCATCTTCTCCAGACCTTGGTACTGTCAGAATTTTTTTAGCCATTCTAAAAGGTACATGGTGGTACCTTATTGCCATTTTAATTTGCATCACCAATAGCTAACGATGTCGAACATTGTGTATGTGCTTATTTGCCATCTGTGTATCTTCTTTAGTGTTCAAGTCCTTTGCCCATTTTTTAGTTGGGCTGTTTCTTACAATTGAGTTCTGAGAATTCTTTATATATTCTGAATGCAAGTCCTTTGTTGGATATGTGATTTGCTAATATTTTCTCCAGTCTGTAGTTTGTCTTTTCGTTCTTTTAAGTGTCTTTTGCAGAGCAAAATTTTACATTTTTGTGAAGTCTAATTCATCTTTTTTTAAAAATGGATCATGATTTTGGCATCATGTCTGAGAACTCTTTGCCTAACCCTAGGTCACATGTACTTTCTCCTGTGTTCTATCCTAAATGTTTATAGTTTATGCTTTCCATTTAGATATTTTTGAGTTATTTTTTGTATAAGGTATGAAATTTAGGTCAAGGTTCTTTCTTTCTTCCTTCCTTCCTTCCTCCCTCCCTCCTTCTCCTCTCTCTCTTTCTTGGCATGTAGACGTCCAAATGTTCTAACAACATTTTTTGAAAAGACTATTCATTCTCCATTTAATTGCTTTTGCACTTTTGTAAAAAAATCAGTTGGCCATATTTGTGTGAGTCTATTTCTGGACTGTCTGTCTAATCTATGTATCTATGCCTTTGCCAATATCACACTGTGTTGGAAACTGTAGCTTTAAAGTAAATCTTAAAATAGGGTGATATAATTCCTCCAACTTTAGTCATCTTCTTCAAAATTGTTTTAGCTATTCTAGTTCCTTTGCCTTTCAAAATAAATTTTAAGATCAGGTTGTCCGTATCTTCAAAAAATTCTGCTGGGATTTTGATTAGAATTGCATTAAATCTACAGATCAATTTAGGCAAAACTGACATCATTTCCCTGTTGCATTTTCCAATCCATAAACATGGCATGCCTCTCCATTAATTTAGGTCTTTGATTTCTTTCATCAGCATTTGAAGTTTTAAGCATACAGATCATGTACCTGTTTTGGTTAGATTTATTCCCGAGAATTAAATTGGGGGGTGAGCCATTATAAATTATATAATTTAAAATTTAAGTTTCCTTTTGACAGTTGTATGTAGAAATATGATTTTTTCTGTTGACCTTGTATCCTGTGACCTTTCTAAACTTACATTTTAGTTCCATGAGTTTTTTGTAGGTTCCTTAGGATTTTCTATGTAGACAATTACATTGTCTGCAAATAGGGAACGTTTTACTTCTACCTTTATAACCTGTATGCCTTTTATTTATTTTCCTTGCCTTATTGCACTGGCTAGGACTTTCAGTATGATGTTGAATAGAAGTGGTGACAGTGGACATCATTGGATTGTTCCTGATCTTAGGGGAAAGTATTCAGCTTTTCACCATTTTGTATGATATTAGCTCTAGGATTTTTATAGATGCCCTTTATCAGCTTGTGGAAGTTCCTTTCTATTTTTCTTTTTTTAAAATTAATTAATTCATTTATTTTTGGCTGCGTTGGGTCTTCGTTGCTGCGCACGGGCTTTCTCTAGTTGCAGTGAGCGGGGGCTACTCTTCGTTGCGGTGCGCGGGCTTCTCATTGCGGTTGCTTCTCTCGTTGTGGAGCATGGGCTCTAGGCACAAGGGATTGAGTAGTTGTGGCACGTGGGCTCAGTAGTTGTGGCTTGTGGGCTCTAGAGCGCAGGCTCAGTAGTTGTGGCGCACGGGCTTAGTTGCTCCATAGCATGTGGGATCTTCCTGGACCAGGGATTGAACCCGTGTCCCCTGCATTGGTAGGCAGATTCTTAACCACTGTGCCACCAGGGAAGTCCGAAGTTCCTTTCTATTTCTAGTTTGCTGAGAGTTTTTAATCATGGATGGATGTTGAATTTTGTCAAATGCTTTTTCTGCATCAATTGATAATGATAATGTATTTTTTCTTCTTTGGATAATTATGACAAGTATGGTAGATTACACTGATATATTTTTTAGAATATTAAAAGGATATATAAATACATATATAAAATATATATAACTTTAAAATAAAGTGTATGTATACACACACATACGTACATATATATATACATACACATATATACATACATACATACATACACTTTATTTTTAGAGCAGTTTTAGGTTCACAGTAAAATTGAGCAGAAACTGCAAAGAATTCCTGCCTCCCTATCCCCTCCCTGCACACAGCCTCTCGCGTCATCAACATCCCGAATCAGTATGGTACATTTATTTGTAACAATCAATAAGTCAACACTGACACATCATTATCAACCAAAGTCCATAGTTTACATTAGGGTTTACTCTTTGTATTATATAGTCTATGGATTTTGACAAATGTATAATGACATGTATTCACTCTTATAGTATCATGCAGAATAATTTCACTACCCTAAAGATATCCTGTGTTTTACCTGTTTATCCCTCCCTCCCCCTCACCCCGCAACCAACCGCTGATCTTCCTGCCTCCCTATTTTTGCTTTATCCAGAATATCATACAGTTGGAATCATTCATTATGTAGCCTTTTCAGATTGGCTTCTCTCACTTAGTAATATAAGTGAAATATATACAATAATACATAAGTTTCCTCTATGTCTTTTCATGACTTGATAGCTCATCTCTTTTCAGCGCTGAATAATAACAGTCCATTGTCACAGTTTGTGTATCCATTCACCTACTGAAGAATATCTTGATTGCTTCCAAGTTTTGGCAGCTATGAATCAAGCTACGATAAATGTCCACGTGCAGGTTTTTGTGTGGATGTAAATTTTCAACTCCTCTGGGCAAATACAGTTCAATTGCTGTATTGTATGTTTGTTTTTTTTTTTTTTTTTTTTTTTTTTTTTTTTTTTTTTTCCTTGCGTTATGCGGGCCTCTCACTGTTGTGGCCTCTCCCATTTGCGGAGCACAGGCTCCGGACGCGCAGGCTCAGTGGCCATGGCTCACGGGCCCAGCCGCTCCGCGGCATGTGGGATCTTCCCG